TTGTAGAGAGGCTGCAATCGACTCTTTGTATGTAAACAATGAGCCCTTCTTGGATGAGCCCTTGCCTGAGGAGAAGTCTGATCAGTTTAAGGGAGGAAAGTGAAATCAGATCTGATCTATCTCCAACCTCTAATCAACATAATACGAGAGAAGGCATTGCTGGACTGTGGTGCTACAAGGAACTTTATTTTCCCAAATGGAGTTTCCTTGAACATCCTTTGCAGATACAAGTTGGGAATTCCCAATCTGTCACAGTCAAGCAAGTCATCAAAGGTGTGCCAACCTCATTTGATGCAAAGGAAGACGCCAGGCACAGTCTGAACTTCTATGTGTTTCCATACTTGCCATTTGATCTGCTTCAGAGCCTCAAGTGGCTGAGGGTTACTAATCCTCGCATTGACTGGGTTGAGCGTAGTATACAGTTGAAGACTGAACAGGGTGAGCTCAAACCTTGTGTCTTAGTCATAGATTACCACCCTAAGACAAGTTATTGCCTGAAGGCAAGAGAGTTTTACAACTTGTCTAAACAGACTGACCATGAGTGGCCTATGTGACCCAAACTGATGCATCCACCCCTCAATGTAACCCCATCATTCAGAGAGCGATTGATGACTATGCAGACCTAGCTCAAGAGCCTACTGGACTTGTTTAGAGATAGATCAAACACCACATTGAGGTTCTCCCTGACTCTACCCCTCCCAAGGGAAGAGTCTATAGGATGTCTCCTACTGAGTTGATGAGCTAAGGAGACAATTAGAATCACTGATGAGAAGGGTTGGATCAGGCTTAGCTCATCTGAGTATGGGGCACCAGTTTTCTTTGTTCCGAAAGGAAATGGTGAACTCATAATGTGCATTGACTACAGAGGCCTGCCTAGGATCAATGACCTATTGGATATGGTGCAGGGCTGCAAAGTCTTCAACAAAATCGATCTGAAATCCGGGTGCCGTTAGATAGGAATGGCTGAGGAGGACATGCATAAGACAACCTTCAAGACCCCCTATAGCACCTATGAGTTCCTGGCCATGCCCTTTGGATCATGCAATGCACCAAGAACCTTCCAAACTGAATGAACAAAATTTTTAGACGATTTCTTGATCGTTTTGTGGTGGTCTATCTATATGATATTTTGGTGTTCGGCAAAAATGTTCTTGACCATGCTGATCATCTCAAAAAAGTTATGCAGATTTTGATAAAAACAAATACAAAATAAATGCAAAACAATCATTTTTTGGTGCTTCTTCTGTTTTGTATTTGGGACATGTGATTTCTGCAGATGACCTCTCCCCAGATGCCTCCAAGGTGGCTGCAGTTAGGGACTGGCCTCAACCGCCAACTGTTAGGGACATCCACGTCTTTCATGGGACTGGCCTCTTATAATATGAAGCTCACTAGAAACTTCTCTACTGTGGCCGCTCCCCTGACTAACCTGTTGCCAAAGGATGTCCCTTTCATATGGACACCCACACGCCAGTTGGCTTTCTTCAGATTGAAGAAAGCCTTTACCCAAGCACTTGAGTTGAAGTTGTCTGACCCTACTTTGCCATTTGTGTTGACCACAAATGCAAGTCAGTATGGCGTAGGGGCTGTCCTTCGACAAAATGATGGGTCTGGCCTCAAGCTTGTAGAGTTCATGAGCAAGAAGATAAAAGTACAAAAAATTCAGGCATTTACTTACTATGAGAAAGCAATGTTTGCCCTTGTATGTGCCCTCAAACAATGGAAGGACTTCTTACTTGGAAGACACTTCTCTGACCATTCGACCTTGTAGTGGACGAAAACCCAGGGGGAGATGAATGACAAGTTGGGCAGGTATATTCAGTTCACTGACTACTTTGACTTCGAACTGGAACACAAGAAGAGATGTTATAAAAGAGTAGCTGATGCACTTTCTTGCAGGCCTGATACATTTGTTGCAGTTGCACAGACTTACTCATTTGGAGACTCCACTGGCCAGGTTATTGCTGATGCGTTGCCTCAAGGCCCTATCTTTGGCCCTATCGTTAGGAATCTGCAGACTGATCCAAAATTTGAGCCAGACTATACCTTGACATCAGACCCCTTGTACACCATCAGTGAGGGGGAGGAACATTTGTGCATCCCTAATGATGACAAGATCATAACTCACCCGATTTCAGCGAGTCATGATGTTCGTGGTCATTTTCGGTTTCTAAGACTTATGCTGCCCTGACCCAACACTTCTACTGGTCAAAGATGAAAGAGAACATACTCCACTACTTAGAGACTTGTGATGTGCCAAAGGAATAAGGTCCACAGATAACCTCCTATGGGACGGCTCAAACCCTTACCTATCCTTGAAGGTCCATGTGAGTCTGTGTTCATTGATTTCACTGATTTGGGCAAGATCACCCCTCGTGGAATAAGACAGGTAATTGTTTGTGTAGATCGCTTCTCTAAGTATGCAGAGTTTATCCCATTGCTTGTTGAGGCAAGAGTGCCTCTAGTTAGAGAGGTATTCTCTGAGAGGTGGGTGAGTGTCTATGGACACCCAACCTCGATTTTGAACAATAGAGACCCGTGTTTTGCAGCAATGAGTGGCGGTCCTTCTATCAAGACCATCTCCACTCTAGACTTCTGGCAGGCATCCTGAAGCCAATGGTCAGGCTGAAGTGATGAACCAGAACTTATCTCAGCTGCTGCACCCTGTGATCACTAGCTCATCACACAGTGAAAAAATGAATATCGAATTCAATTATGAAATTACCCCCGTCCTCCTCCAACCAATCTAGAGTACTTTATTCCAAGAATCACAACCGCATTGTCAACAACCCCGAACAACCAATACCAAATGTTCAACGAAGTATCCAGGAGTCTTCTTCTTCCTCCTCACCACCTCGTCACCCTCGCTATGGCTGCTGTACCAGCAGAACCCTCAAATTGTCACAACGAGCGAATCTGAACTACCGTCGTCCCCCAAACATAACGCATATGTGTTGTATTCGAGTTTTCCAAAACAACCGGTTTTCGGAAAGTTAGACCCTTTTCTTTGAATACAAGGGCACTTCGAATATAACACATATGTGTTCTATTCGAATAATACGCATATGCATTATATTTGAATTTCACGAAGAGAAAATTGTTGTATTTGAAACCTTTCCNCCCCCCGCCCGAAGGTCAACGCCTGCTCCATTCTTGGCCTGGTGAACGGGACAGGCTCGTGCAGGCCCGTAATCACAGATTGCTGCTCGTGCTCTCTCTCTCTCTCTCTCCCTCTCTCTCTCCGTGCACGAAGGCGCTTCTGACAGCCAAGAATGTGGCGCGGCCAAGAAAGGGAAAATATAAGAAAGCCACTCACCAAGGTCTCGCTGCACTACCGTGGTCACCGAGACAAAAAAGAAAGGGGTTGTATTTGTCCACGTTCTAGCGGAAGATTCATTCACATTTTGCACATTTGCTGAGGAGTGGAGCCAGGGCCCAAGTAGGGGAAAGGAATGAACCTCAACCCTGAACATGGAAAGGTACGTCGCTGTTTTACTTTTACCGTTTTGCCAAGGCTCTGAGGCCCCCAGCCCTGGTCTAGAACTGAGCCTACTCAGCCTGGACCCGACTCCCTTGTGCAGGCAAAGTTGGTCTCGTTCACTTGAACATAACGCATATGTGTTGTAAATGAATACAACACACAGTATGTGTTGTATTCGTTTACAACACATATGCGTTATGTTGGCGGGAGGATGGTAACACCCTAAACAATTTGCAGCTCCAGCTCAGCACCCGCAAGGGAGTGCAGCCCTGGAAATCCTAATGAAGAAGAAGATGACCATGCAAGTACGTCGACGAAACACATTCCCCGCGAGGAGGAACAACAAGAAGGCTGCCAACTGGAAGTGATGGCTGCGCCCCGAGCCCAACAACACATGTATTGTGGAAACTCCCGCAGCCCTGCACCCCTGTAGCAGCCTGCCCTTCAATCTCCAATCTCCACCTCCAGCTATGGCTACGCACCGAAGTAGAAGATGACCACGTCCAAAACAGCGCTGCTGCGCTCAACTCCCGGACTGGCAGAGTTTCTCCAACAAAACAAACGACAAAAGACCTGAACCATTTCTGCCCACGACTTCTGGACTCCCAGACTCACTCACGACCCAGGGCACCGTAAAACACAGACCTACGGGCCTACAGAGGAAAAGCTGAAAAGGACAAAACTACGGGTCCTAGTGGTCTAAGCCTAAAGACAAGAGGGAACCCAGCAAATGACAGGTCAAGGGATCAAGACCTGCGGGCTCAGAACGGCAAGAAAACTAGCAAAACGACCGGGCAGTTATTGTACTCCACTGTAGCCTGCAAGTTCATTGCGTTCCTACCCTCTTGGGAAGCGAGGACCCCCCCTTCATAGGCTAAAACAATCGACTTGGCCGACTTAAGAAGTTATGTTCTCTTGTACCAGCGATCTTCTGTATGCGGCTAGAAACAGAGCTTCACAAGATATTCACGGTTGGGGCTTGTGTCCCACTGGTCCAAAATCTCCTCAACTTCGTACCCTTTCCCAGGAATGGGTGGGCCGAATTGGGGAGGCCTGTCCAGATATGCATCCGCGGGTGTGAACGGCAGCGATTTGGATGCATGAAAGACCGGATAGGTCTTAAGGTGTGGAGGGACAGCAAGCATATAAGATGGACCAAACGGATCTGCCATGGACCAAAATACACAGGTAACAACTTCCTAGAAATGTCATGTTCATCAGACAGCTCAGATCTCTTCACCCAGACCCAATGCCCACGACGAATTGGAAAAGGCAATCTCTGTTTGTTAGCTTGCTCAATCATTCTCTTCTTTGACTAAAACATGTTAGTCCTCGCCTTCTCTAAGTCCTCCTCATAGCTTTTGGCAAATTTTGCAGTGCCAGGAGTGATCTTTAACTCCACAGTAATAGAGGTACTAAACCATATGAACTCAAATTCTAACAAGAATGAATGCAAAACCATAGACACAAAGCACTTCAACGGAATGTTGTACACATATTACAAGACAGGCACACTTACCTGGAGGAATCTCTCCCAGAAATCTCGATGGGCTCTTTTGATGGCCCCCATCCAGCATTACATGGGTCACCTGATGTGCAGATAATCACAGGACACAAACAGGCACAACCTTTTGTTGTTATGGTCGTGATCACAATAACGAGAACAATGAGAAGGAAGGTGAATAGCAAGAAGACCGAGAGATGAAGGTGGAGACATACAAAGACGATTGTCAAGGCAAAGCTGAAGACAGATGAAGGCGGAGCTGATGACAAAGTCGGAAGTCAACTGTGAAGATGAAGACACAGGCAAAAATGAAATGCAAATGAAGGCACATGCATGGAAAAGAAGTACAACAACCATTGGGGTAAAGCCAACGGCAAAGGGGACAGGGAAGGGGAAGGGGATGCCGTAGACAAAGATGAAGAAAGACAATGGCAAGTGTAGCAAACAATACACAATGAGTTGTGCGTGAACATTCCTTAGCCAATGATGAAGATGCAGACAAAGGAAAAGATGAAAATGGGATTGAAAGTTTATGCGAGGGAAAAAAAGTACAACAACAATCAGGGTAAAGGCAGGGTGGGGCGGATATCACGGTTGGTATGGTTCCGCTTTTACACCGTGTCCTGGCTGTAGTGGTTACGATACTTGGCTCTTGAGGCCGAGGACGCCGGTTCGAGTCTGTGCTTGCACGGAGGAGGGCTCAAGCCCGGAGGTACTGACGGTTCGAGTCTGTGCTTGCACGGAGGAGGGCTCAAGCCCGGAGGTACTGATCCAATGACAAACGGGATGGGGAAGCCATAGACAAAGATGAAGAAAGAGCACGACAAGTGTGACGAACAAAACACAATGAGTTGCTTGGGAACATTCATTGATTATGGGTGCAACGAATCACTCTTATTCATCTTATTGCAACTACTTCTTACCGCTCAATTCACTTGAAAAGACATTGAGTCACATTCAATTCACATGTTTACGTGTCACAAGGGTTGTTCTCTGACTGTGGTTCTCCCAAGTGAATCCCAATTACATCTGGGGCAAAAGAAAGAGTACAGGCAGGCTTGAGGAAGAAGCCCTCATTCAAGCTCCAAATCAGGACGCATACTCTAACATTTAAATTCTAATAAAGAGATTTATACACTCACCAAATTGCGGAGATGAGGGGTTGCCAGGTTGCTTTTCACTAGGATGGAAAAACCAAAGCACAGCGTGTCTGCCAAACTAACATGCCAGGAAGACAGTCTCCACGTGAAGAAACCTTGCTTGCTATCTGTGGCTAAGAACCACAAGGAGAGAGAAATACTAGCTAGAGTGAAAATCACTGAAAAGTATGTGTTGCACACTGTTGGTACTGCGACGCTCAAGGCCTCGGTAAGCCCTTTTGGGCCTGTTCAGCAAGTAAGGCCACCTTCACTTAGGGCGGCCTGATAAGTTACGTGAGGCCTATTTTTGCGTTCTCTGCAAACTGGGGAAAATCAGACAGTTACGCTGCATCAGTTGGTTGAGTGAGCCCATGCCGTGCGTAACATCTGTTTCGGGCTTCTAGGCCCTTCCTGAAAGAATTGGAGGCTGGCCCTGGGCCAGACACGGGTCACAAACTGTACACAGCACGCCTGGCAGTTGGACATGCCTAACTGCCAGAGGCCTTGCGGAATTTTCCTCTGGGACAGAGGCCCAGCGACTTGGGGCCTACCGGACGCTTCTGGGCAGAGGCTCAGACTAGCCAGGCAGCTCACGACTGGCAGCCACTTTCCATAAGGAAAGGGCCTGGCCACTGGCTGGGCATTCGGGCACTCGCTGCTTCAAGCGTAAGCGCTGCTGCGCTAGCTTCTGATGCGAGTGGCCTACACGCTCACGGGCGAGCAGGGTTGAACGCAGGCAGCCATAGCCAGGCTTGCCTGCTCATTGCTGGATGACACGCATGGTGGTCTTCGGGCGCATGTGGCATCTATGTGGTGGATCGAGGTTGTGAATGTGGCGAGGACATACCTGGTGCTTGATGCGGATGGCGTTGGCCGGGATCTGCTCATACTTCGGAAAGCTGTTGACGTCACCGGCGGCATTGTAGATAGGCTAGATAGGATCTGCCAGTTGTAGTCTGGGCGCCGAGCGCCACTTCGAGGAACGACATTGGTTCATGGATGATGATGACGAGACTATTTCAACATTGTCATTTGTGAGCTCTGCTCTGCTCTTATTTGGTGTATTTCGTGTTGCAATTCGTTTTTCGAGGTCACGACTATCTGGTTTCATATGTATGATGTGGCTTGGCTTCTGTATTTCACTATCACTCAGTTTCCTTGCAGTACGAATCACCACTACCAAAATCAGATGGCAAAATTCATTCAAGAACTGGCCCAACTGGGTCAGAGCGAGTCTCGGGCCATGCCGGCCGGTTCAGTGCCAACTTTAGTCAAGAATAACCCCCCAAAAAGAAACCAATGCAATGATTCTCAAGTCAATCACCCACGACCTCGCACACACATGCAATGAGCAACCAGATGAGTGTTCACACTTGGAAGCAATAGCCATGACACAAAATCAAATAGGAGATTGAAACTCAAATTGTCTTTATTATACAAAGAAAGCGTACATGTCTCCTGCGGTCCCTGCCGCTCAGACAGTGCCAGGCTCGAATCAGGTACCCACTACCCCTTCCTCTCTCTCTCTCTCTCTCTCTCTCTCTCTCTCTCTCTCTCTCTCTCTCTCTCTCTCTCTCTCTCTCTCTCTCTCTCTCTCTCTCTACTCTGCTTTGGATTGCTCCCTGAATACACCCGTGCAGATCAGACTGAAACGGTTTTCACATTTGCGGTAGCAGACGCAAACCTCGCCCTTACCCGTGTACAGTACCAATTGACCCGTGGTAAGTCGTAGCTGCTACAGTACCAAGAGGTCAATGTAGGTCATAGCTGCTACAGTACCGAAAGGTCATATAGGCTAGACTACCGTCTTCACCCGAATACAACGTACAGTCATCATTGCTGTATCTACACTCGAAGTTGCCCCAGAATACAGCTATAATGACCGCACGTTGTATTCGGGTGAAGACGGTAGGCCCCTCCGGAACAGTCTACTCTGCCCCTTCGTGAGTCCTAGCTAGCAATCCGTAGGCAAGTGGGCAAGTGGGCAAGTGGGCAAGTGGGCAAGTGGGCAAGTGGGCAGTCTAACTCAGCCCAGTCAGCAGTACCCAGTCCCGGTGGCACTGTGTCAAGTCAGCGAGTACCATGTGGGACTGTGTGCACCCCAGGGCCAGGGTCCAAGGGCAGACCTTCGACAATCCGAAGTATAAATCAAGAGGCAGCAATCAGTCATTCATTCATTCTGCCTGTGAGCCATGTGGAAGCACTGTCGGAGTGTCTTGTGTACGGAGATCTGCAGGTGCCCGTAGACTAAGAGGGCTAAGAGGAGGAAGATCGGCCATAGCCGATAGTCAGTCAGTAGAGCAGGAAGCCGCCAAGTGAGAGAGTCAGTAGGCGTTAGTGTCTATGTGTGTGTAGAGTGAGTTTGTGTGTACGTGTGAAGTGTATGTGTGTGTGCGGAACATCCAGGGAGATCCAGGGTGTGTGTACGAACCAGTTGCTGGGAGTGTGGTGTACAGCCATAGCCGTACTAGACAAGTTTGAATCTGAACTGCATTCTTGGCTACGTTAACTCTGAGCTTTGTGTGGGCGCAAGTCGCCAGCTTGATCGTCATTTGTTTGTACGCATGTTGAGTATCGAGAAAGGCGAGTCTGATTGCATTGGTATTGGAGCTGGTTCACGCTTTTCCGTACGTCGTCGTCGTCGCCACGGAGGGAGATAGCTAATGTCATCGTCGTCATCACCGACGGGTGCTGAAGGAGTAGAAGAGTGCCCTGTCCGCTTGCCACATCAGCGATCGTGCGCCCGAAGGAGGGAGGAGAGGCGCCCAGCATCTGCGCGCCAACGTGCGCGCTTGTTTCCCGCCACGCGCCGCTGTGCGCCGTTACTCCCCGCGCGTTCGCTGCCTTGCACGCGCTGCCCGCCATTCCGTGCGCAATCTGCCTTGATTGTATGCCCGCTGTGCGTCGCTATTGCTGTGCGCTAGCTACCATTGCGCGCGCCAGACTTGGGCGCCTTGTTGCGCAAAAGACGTTATCCCGCGTGCTTACGTGATCGTGCGCTTGCTTAGCTGCGCTCTGACGTCGTAAACCGTGCGCACTGTTGCCCGCTGTCTCGCGCCCCCCCCCGCTGTATTGCACACTAGTTTTATGCGCGCGTAGGTATCACACACTTGCCACGGCGCCGGTGCTGCTTGGCGCTACTGCACGCTGTCGCGCACTGACAGATTGCGCACTCGGTTATGCGCGCTAGTTGCCAGTCAACATGTACGTGGTCGAGAGAGAGATCGCGCATTCACGCACGTGCGTCCAAGTTCGGATCATCGCCCAAGTCCACCATGCGTTACCGAAGAGGAAGGGTCCTGGCGCGAAGAGAAGGGCTGCTGCGCAATTGAAGAAGAAGATTGTCGCTCGTAAAGAGAGCTGCTGCACCACGAAGTAAGCGGGCGGTCATAGCCGCTGTACCTGCAAGTAGGAAACGATGAACGACGAACGCTGAAGATATATACGATAGAGAGAGAGAGAGAGAGAGGGCCTGAGCGATACAAGATCGGTTGTGTTCCCCACGAAGAAGAAAGGAGGCGGCCATAGCCGCTGAGCTCGGACCGAACAAGGAAGAAGAAGACCGGGAGTGACGAAGAAGTTGACGAAGAAGAGTAGAAAAAGCCATAGCCAAGGTGGGCGAAGAAGAAGAGAGAAGGGGGAGGAGAGAGAGAAAGTGGTTGGTGAAAGAGAAGCGTCGGCAGCCATAGCCGAGGGTTAGAGAGTTGACCGGTGGGGTTGACCAAGTTTGACTGGCCGTTGACCAGCATTGACCAGAGGCTGTTGACCAGCATTGACCAGAGGCTGTTGACCACGATTTTGACCAAGCTGGAGTCGGTATAATCTCGCCAAGCCTTCAGCCTACCCCCTCGCCCTATGGATGTGCACTACTTGCTGAGTCTGTCTGTCTCTTCTTTCTGCATTGAGTCACACTTCTGTCCAGGTGATAGGAATCCGTGCATGTGGT